TAATAAAACTGTAGCTTTATTTTTAAAGCCCTTTCAAACTAAGTGCTGAACAATTACAAGGAGATAAAACCAAAGTAAAAGGTTATTAAGTACAGATAAAACATAATAAAATCAATTAAGGATGCACAATATATCTGTATGGACATCAGTATCGGCCGATATGTAAAACTGGGCTAATATTAACGTCTATTGATTTCCCACTTTTTATCTTTGTTTCTGTTTTGGGAGGGGAGATGGTTGGTTGAGTGGTATCTGTTTCATCATGATAGTGATAATGATGCTGCGCAGTCAGGAATAACTGAAGTATAGTGTCATGTCAGAGGTCTGGTCGTTTATTTACAGTATCAAAAAAAGATCCAGGTGTGTTTGTGTGTATATGTATAATGTAATTAGTGTGTTTCTGTAATATCGGTAAATATCGGTTATCGGCCATAACAGCAATAATTATATCAGATATCGATATCAGCTGAAATTTTCATATCGGTGCATCCTTAAAATCAATATTACTAAAGCTCAGTACAACATATAAAATGACAAGCAATTTAAAACTAAATTGTGCAGCAAAAACACAAGTAAACTGATTTTAATGTTCACTAACGACCTATTGTTTGGCTGATAGTCCTCTTTTGCATGTGACCTACCTGTTTGTCCACATGTGGAGGCGGAGCTTTTAAGGCTGAGTTCACCTGAAACTCCTCAGACTGCAGAAGTCTCTTGGAGGAGAGACGAAACATTTCATTAAAGAAGAACCCATCCAGAGGACCTTCTTATTTTTTCTTCTTGATTTTTCTACCTGGATTACAGAGATGCATCAGAACATAATAAGATGGTGACAGCCGGGGGAGTTGGTGCTGAGATTGTCCAAATAAAACTCAGCTTCTTTCCGTCGATTTAGGAAACCTTGTTGGTGAAGAGGTTTAAACTGTCTCTGTTACGGCACAGTTATTTAAACCATTCAAAACAGAATACATCCACAGATTGTTGGGGAATGTGAAAGAATGAAAGAAACAAAAGACCAGTTTTCRTAAAGACGATGCAGAGTTTAGGTGAAAGCATCTGTTATTTAGACGGATGGCCGAGTCAGCATGCAGAATAATTGTGTCACAAATTCTGGCGTGAGCAGCGTTTTGTCCCCTGAAAGGATAAACAATCCTCGTTGTTTTTGTCGGAATGCTTCATGAATGGGTGGCAGCGATGAATTATTAAACAACAAATGAATTATTGTTGTGGGATAATGGGCGACGCTCTGTTCAGCGTGTCACGGCTGWTCTGCTGCTCGTGTCATTCCGCAGGAATGCACCATGAAGGTGCAAGAAGGGAAGTTCAAACTGCAGGATCTGCTGGTGGTTCCCATGCAGAGGGTCCTGAAGTACCACCTACTACTGAAGGTAGGAGCACAGACCATCGCACACGCTACACCTCACTGGGCTTCCACTTTCAGGATGATCTTTGAACGCCCTGCAGCTCTTTGGTTTTCTGCAGACGAGCTGTTTTCAGCTTGGCTTTTCTTCTTTTTTAACATAGCAGATGAGAATCTTCAGAGTTGTGTTTCCTCTTTATAAATATCAAACTTTCACCCCCTGTGGGCTTCAAGAGTAGCTGGGAAAAGTTAGAATCTTCTTTGTGGAGCACTGCAGCTGTAGTCTGACTGGATTCCTAGTCGTAGAATCTGAAGTGTCCCAGTTTTACTGAGAGAAGACAGAATTCATTACTGCAACATGTTGCCACTTTAAATGTAGCTTATTACAGCTTGCCTCAGTGTAATTTACTTTGGTTAATGAGGACATTGTTCATATCTCATTTCCAGCCTGTTTCTTGTTATAAGTCACATAAAATGACTTTTTAGAAGTTTCAGTAACAAAAGCCTAAAGCAGGGGGTCTGCAGCCTGCGGCTCTGGGGCCACATGTGGCTCTTTGGGCCCTCTGCAGCCACTCTTTGAAGTTTTGACTGAAGCTAACGTGATTTTATATTTGCTGCCGTTTTCCTGTCACTTTGTTTGCAAACATGTGATCAATAATACAAGGAGTGAAATGTGTTGATGCTAATAGCATGCTAGCTTCCAAGCTTTGCTTTTACATTGACTCAAATATTTCCGAACTTTCATCTATTCTGGAAACATGTTCTGTTTGGTTTTCAGCAAAATGCAAAGATGACTTCAAAGGAATTTATTCATCTTTGAATTATCCAGACCACATTTCATGCACATAAAAGCCAATTTTTAAAGTGACAAAAGTATTTTTGTCACCTTCATGATTGAGTTTACACATGTGCAATCTATTTGCTTCTCTGCTAATCAGAAGGCAAACCCTACAATGTCTCGTTTCACTTTTTGGAATTCCTGATTCAACTTTGTCCTGATTTGTTCTTTTTTGTTGACTTGTTGATGACTTTATTAGTAGTTTCATTTTATTTAATGTTTATTGTCATGTATAGATGTTCATCCCCCCTGGCTGCATTGTTTTTCCTTTATACTGTGTTATAAAAATATAAAAACAAATTCAAAATCCAGCTTCCAACCTTAAACTATGACCTTTCTCTCAAATCCATCAGGGTTCCCTTTAAAGACCTTTGAGAATAGACTAAATTACTGTAGGTTTCTCTCTTTACTGTTCTTATATTTCTCTTCTACTTTTTCTTTTTCTTTCTTACTATAGTAAAAAAAGAGAATAGACTAGATCATAGCAAGAATAAATAATAATAAACGTTGAATACAGTGGTTTGCAAAAGTATTCATACCCCTTGAACTTTTCCATATTTTGTCACATTACAACCACAAACATAAATATATTTCACTGGAATTTAATGTGAAAGACCAACACAAAGTGGTATACAATTGTGAAGTGGAAGCAAAATTTTACATGAATCAAAACATTTTTTACAAATAAAAAACTGAAAAGTGCGATGTGCAAAATTATTCAGCCCCCCTGAGTCAATACTTTGTGGAGCCACCTTTTGCTGCAATTACAGCTGCAAGTCTTTTAGAGTATGTCTCCACCAGCTTTGCACATCTAGTGACTGCAATTCTTGCCCATTCCTCCTTGCAAAACAGCTCAAGCTCAGTCAGATTGGATGGAGAGCGTTTGTGAACAGCAGTTTTGAGATCTTGCCACAAATTCTCAATTGGGTTTAGGTCTGGACTTTGACTGGGCCATTCTAACACATGAATATTCTTTTTTTTAAACCACTCCATTGTAGCTTTGGCTTTATGTTTAGGGTCGTTGTCCTGCTGGAAGGTGAACCTCCGCCCCAGTCTCAAATCTTTTGCTGACTGCAACAGGTTTTCTTCCAAGATTGCCCTGTATTTGGCTCCATCCATCTTCCCATCAACTTTGACCAACTTCCCGGTCCCTGCTGAAGAGAAGCACCCCCAGAGCATGATGCTGCCACCACCATATTTGACAGTGGGGATGGTGTTTTCAGAGTGATGTGCAGTGTTCTTTCTCCGCCACACATAGCGTTTTGCATTGTGGCCAAAAAGTTCAATTTTGGTCTCGTCTGACCAAAGCACCTTCTTCCACATGTTTGCTGTGTCCTCAACATGGCTTCTGGCAAACTGCAAACGGGACTTCTTATGGTTTTCTTTTAACAATGGCTTTCTCCTTGCCACTCTTCCATAAAGACCACATTTGTGTAGTGCACGACTAATTGTTGTCCTGTGGACAGTTTCCCCCACCTGAGCTGTGGCTCTCTGCATTTCATCCAGAGTCACCATGGGCCTCTTGGCTGCCTCTCTGATCAGTGATCTCCTTGTTCRGCCTGTAAGTTTAGGTGGACGGCCTTGTCTTGGCAGGTTTACTGTGGTGCCATACTCTTTCCATTTCCGGATGATGGATTGAACAGTGCTCCGTGAGATGTTCAAAGCTTGGGAAATCTTTTTATAACCTAAGTCTGCTTTAAACTTCTCCAAAACCATATTCCTAACCTGTCTGGTGTGTTCTTTGGACTTCATGATGCTGTTTGCTCCCCAATATTCTCTTAACCAACATCTGAGGCCRTCACGGAGCAGCTGTATTTGTACTGAGATTAGATTACACACAGGTGGACCCTTTTGAGTCATTAGCAGTCATCAGGCAACTTCTGAATGCAATTGGTTGCACTCAGGGAAAAGGGGGCTGAATACTTTTGCACRTCACATTTTTCAGTTTTTTATTTGTAAAAAATGTTTTGATTCATGTAAAATTTTGCTTCCACTTCACAATTGTATACCACTTTGTGTTGGTCTTTCACATTAAATTCCAGTGAAATATATTTATGTTTGTGGTTGTAATGTGACAAAATATGGAAAAGTTCAAGGGGTATGAATACTTTTGCAAACCACTGTATATATTTTTAATTTATAATGTCACCCTTTAGAGGCCAGAAAGGACCCCCAACAAACCTGAAGTGGCCCACGGACCACCAGTTGATAATCGCTGCACACTTCGTAGCTCCAGATCCATGTTGTTAGTGAGTCGAGGAGAATTTATGGCTCTTTAAAAGTTGCAGACTCTGATTTAAACTAGTCGAAATGCAAACATTTGACAACAAACCAGAGTTAGCATTTAGCAAGAACACCTGAACTGTCTGGTGTTCCTTTTTAAAACAAACAGATCTCTGCAGAATTTCCTCTGAATAACTGACTCAGTAACTCAGTTACTGATGTGTTTATGAGGCTGTGCTGCAGTGGGCAATGCACCGGGGTCCAAATAAATGTCGGAGTCAGGTGAGCGACAGAGTTAACGCTTCCATTTGTTCGTATCGAACCCCTGCAGGAGTGGCAGCGAGCCTCCGAGGTCAAATCAGCCGTGCGCTAATCAGATTAAACACACCCCATTTCACCGCCTTCCGCAGCTTAGCAGGAGGAAGAGCGGCGTGCAGCGCAGCGTGCAGCACGGCCTCGCAGCGCGTCACGTTAACAAGGCCTGTTTTTGTGTTGTTTGACTTGACATAGGTTTAATCAGGCCTGAGGGCACGGCTTCACTTAATGTTGCAAAGGTATCATTACAGTGGTGTTTACGGTTTGGTTGTGCTATAAATAACTTCAGCTTTTATGAACTGYGGCTGCGTTCCAAACAGTATAAAATCAGTACAGTCACCTGAAATGGATCAACCCTCAATCAGTGTTTGACTGTTGTTGTTTTTTTTCACTACAAGGTAGGAACAATAGGGACTGGGCAGCAAACAGAGCAGCATTTTAAAAACACTGATTGGCTGAAATGAGGAGGACACTTCATGGGAAAAACATTTTTCGTATAAAAAAAACAACTTTAATACGTTTGCATCCTGCATGTCAATATGTTAGCTTTCACACACATTTCTCTTGSTAGCGTTGGAGCTTTCGTTAAATATTTTAACATTTTTCTCCAGTTTTGAATAAAAAATGCATGTAGGAGCATTAATTTTTCTTGTATTTTTCCCCCCCAAATAAGATAATGATATTTCTCCCTTTGCAGGACCTTTTAAGTTATTCAACAGACCGACCTGAGAGGCAACAACTCAAAGAAGCTTTGGAGGCTATGCAGGTTTGTATTGATGAGCAGCCATCAGAAAAATGCCATCTGAGTAAATATTTTTTTAAAAAACATAAACGATTATTGTGGCTCAGACAAAACATATTTGCCTCACTCTTTCAGGACCTGGCCATGTACATCAACGAGGTCAAGAGAGACAACGAGACGCTGAAAAAAATCAGTGAATTCCAAAGTTCAATAGAAAATCTTGTATGTATTACGAGCTTCTCTGTCAATTTTTGTCCTTATTTAAAAGAAACAACTTTTCAATTAATGCCTGAAGACCTTGAAAATATTAATCTTCTGATTCTGCACTTTTAGATAAATATTCATTAGTTTGCTGATAATTCACATTTGGCTTCATGGGCTTGAGTTTTATTCTGTCCACCTTTTGACAACCCCAGTTCCAGTGAAGCCCGGTCGTTTTGTAAAACATAAATAAAAACAGAATGTGTTGATGTGCAAAAATCCTTTTCAATATATTTATTTGAAAGCACGACAAAGACAAGATATTTAATGTTCAAACAGATAAACTTTGTTGTTTTTTGCAAATATTCACTCAATTTGAATCTGATGCTGCAACAGGTTTCTGGGTGTTGTCGATATCTGGCTATGGCTTTGCATGGCCCATGTGCTAATATCTGTTACAGAATGATGTCGGTTTTTAATGCAGGGCTATCTGAGGGGTCAAAGGTCACAAACAGGATCTGCTGGTGGTCATCTTGCAGAGAATTTTCCAGATTCTCCGAATCTTTTGATGATTTTTATGAACTGTAGACGATGAAATCCTTAAATTCTTTGCGATTGTACGTTGAAAAACGTTAGTCGTTGAGAAAGTGGTGACCCTCGCCCCATCCTTGTTTGTGAACAACTGAGCCTTTCGTGGATGCTCCCGTTAWACCCAATAATGACTCTCACCTGTTTCCAATGAACTAGTGCCACTTAGTGTAGTGTCGGTACAGTCAGTGTCGGTACGGGTCAGTTTGAGTACTTTTCTATTGACATTCCAGTCCGGTTCCAGTGGGTGTGTTTTGGGTGGTTGGTGGAGGTGGGTTTTGGGTTTTTCAAAAAAGAATTAATGCGCAAAATGAGAGATGGAAATACATTTGCCAAAAAAGTTCAGAAATTTAAAAAATTCGCTAAAAATCAAATTAAAGTTGGATGGAAACACGACTAATGTCACTGCTACAATTGAAAAAATGGTTCCTCGAGTTGTTGTTGTAAAGGCAGCATAGACACAACCATTGACTCCACCCCCTAGCCAATCAGTGATGAACAGTGTTCTGATGTCGCAWTTTGGTGTCRACTGGGACCACTTGGTACCACAACMAAGTRGGTACTAAAAAAAGGGCTGGTTCCATGAACCTGGCCTAATGGAAATGGCTTGGAACCGTACCGAACCGTACCGACACTACACTAAGTGGCACTAGTGGAAAAGGGTCGCTATTCACCTGTGGAATGCTCCAACAGGAGTTTGTTTCCTCAACTGTGTCAGTCTTTTGCGGGATGTGTTGTGGGCATCAAATTCAAAATGAGTATGAATATTTGGACAAATAAAAAGTTGATCAGTTTGACCTGAAATRTCTTGTYTTTGTAGTGTATTCAATTTAAAATGGGTTGAAAATTCTGTTCGTATTTGTTTTGCACAGGATMCCAACTTCACTGGAATTGGGGTTGTAAAATACAATCCTTTAGTRATGAAAATGTTGTCATGATAAACTGCTGTCAATCAAACAATCACATTATAATTTATCATAAATAAGCAGCTGCTTCAGCTTCTTGTTCCCAGTGATTCTGGACAGTATGACAGATGAGTTCAGACAGGGGGTCTCTATAGACTGTGATCTGTAGTGAGAGCAGAGATCAGGTGGAAGAGAGAGCCTGGAGAGGTTGAGCAATAAGCTGTTCAGCTCTCAGTTTCTGAGTGATAAAGTTGCAGACTGCAGCAGATTAACACCCRGTGTGACTTTATGGCTGAAGCAGCAGGTGAAGCTGGAGGAATACGGCCGGCCAAAGATCGACGGAGAGCTGAAGGTGAGCTCCATCGTCAACCGAACCAAACAAGACCGGTGAGTCCAGCTTCAGCGGGAGCCTGAACCKGAATTATTCGCAGCCTTTCATCACATCTGAGTGTTTGTGTTTTTGTGCCCTCAGGTATATTTTCCTCTTTGATAAAGTGGTGATTGTGTGCAAGAGGAAAGGCTACAGCTACGAGCTGAAAGAGATCATTGAGCTGCAGTCGTATAAAATGTCAGACGACCCCATGAACAACAGAGACATGAAAAAGGTAAGGAAGGGTCTCGCTCGTCTTTTGGCCTGAAATGAGGGCGAGCTGGAACGTTCCCACTGTGGAGTCTCTGCGAAGGTAGCTCTGCTAGTGATGAAAGAGCCTGTTTATYCATTAGAAATGTTGCCCTTGAGCTGAAGCAGCTTGTTGATGAGGACTTTCCGAATTGGGAATGTATGCATTGAAGTGCCAAAATAAATGCTTTGTGCTTTAGAGACTGTAAATGCAACACAAATCATTTAGGATTCATGAGAACATGTTGCAGTTATCATGCAAACGGTCTAACCTGGCCTTTTTGTTTGGAATCTGCATGTATTTRTTCATGTCTGCATGTGTAATGGGGTCTTTCTCTGGTCTTTTTTTTTTCTTTCTTTTTTTTGTGCATGCTTACCAGTCGAGTGGAAAAATGGTAAGCCCAAATGACCCCTTTATTTAACTCATCTTCTCATTTAGGCTTTGCCCTTGGAGGTGGTGTTCTTTGTGGTTGTAGCTTTCAGCTCTGTCTGGCTCTGCACATTTTACAGCATGRTTTAGTTTTCAGCTCTTGGCTAAATGTGATTGTATCCAAAGCACCAAAACTCACAAAAGCGTGTTTATCACAAGCTTCTTTTCACATATCTTTGTCTATCACTGCCGTGCGTTTATATCTCGTCTATTCTTTGCTCCTTTAGTGGTCTTATGGTTTCTACCTGATCCATTTGCAAGGGAAGCAGGGCTTCCAGTTCTTTTGTAAAACTGAGGAAACCAAGAGGAAGTGGATGGAGCAGTTTGAAATGGCAATGTGAGTAGGATTGCACACAGGAAGTTTTATTTCCAGGCCAGTAATATAATTTAAATTGCAGCGCAGAGCTTTTTTTTCTGGAAATTCAATTAAAAGAGTGTTTAAATCCTCATTACATTTCTCATTATTCGTGACCTCCGGCTTAAACGTTGCAGAAGTGAGAATGTCAGTTCGTTTTTTATGCAGGTCCAACATCAAGCCGGAGAGAGCCACCGCCAATCAGCACAACTTCCAAATGCACACGTTTGATAAGAACACCAACTGTCGATCCTGCAAGATGCTCCTGAGGTAAAGACATGAACACTTGGATCTTTTTAATTAGCTTCTTGCAGAGTTCCCAGAAGCTGGAGTGGTCAAGTATTTCAGGGAGAATAAATGCATTTTCTGTTCTTTTTTATTTTACACAATTTGTGTGCAGATAAAATGTGATGATTTACAGAGATTTGTTGCCACCAGTGGTGGGCAGCGCTAATCCAAAAATTAGCTCCGCAATTTCTAAAGCGCTTGTGAAAGTATTTAGGTCCGCAACTTCAAAAGTGCTTATGCCATAGAAAAACTAGCGGAAGCTAATTTTAAAGCACAAGTTCAATTTGACACTTACTAGCTCAGTATTTCCCAAAGTTGGGGTCGGGACCCAAAGTGGGGTCCTGAAACATCAAGGTGGGGTCCTGAAAAGATTTTCTGAATTAATTACATTTTTGCCTTAGTTGTTACAAAGGAGTGAGGTTAGTGTATTTAAAATGGATAAATGTAGTATAAAAAATATTGTTACTATGCCCATTTTTAGTTGGCCAAATGCAAATG